GAAGCTATGTATGTAGTTGCTATGCAGTCTCGGCGTAACTATACCATCTGAGGCCCGTGGCAAACTCTTTGGATGAGGCCCTCGCAGTAAAAATCGTCACGTTGTAATGTATGTATGTATGTATGTAAGTATGTATATATGCATATACATACATATGAATGGGTCAGCGTTGCCATAAGTCAAGATTTATCTTGAAAATGAACATTTTCGGGCTGTTTTTTTTATTAAAAATCTTCAGAAAAAGACTTTTAAAAGCAAAATTTTGCACTGAAAAAATTTTCAAAATGAAGATTTTTTGTGTATGATGTAAAATTTTTAAAGTTTAAGCTAAAATTGTTTAATTACTTATGGATAATATCGCCAATAATATCATTGTAAGCAGCAAATGAAGGAAGAAGAAAAATAAAATATGAAATCCCCTACAATATTATCTGCTATTATCTTCTCTCGCACAGTAAAACATATACTCTAGTGCAGAGTTAGAGAGTGGAGGGAAAGAACAAACAGTCTTTTGTATCCCCTCTAGTTTAAATGCTGATGAGTCTACGCGGATAAGTGTATAACGAGAAAAAAGGAGCGGTTTACTTTATAAAATAATATCAATAGAAAATCGAATTAAAAAGCTCCAAATTGTTATCGACCTTGTCGAATTTTCTTAACTTTTGTACAAAGATTGAAGTTTGGACTTACATGTCTTTTGATAGATAACGAGCAAGAACAAGTAATTTTTAAACAAAAAACACAAGCGACTTCAAATCTCATATAAATATTGATCGTCAATTTCTTCATGATCCAATGAACGGATCTAAACCAAATTAGTATGGGGCCACCCTTGAAGTACCACCTTTCCGATAAACAGGAATTATCGAAATCAGTTCAAGTGCTCCAAAGTTATGCGGTAACATATATATGTACATAAAAAAAATATTCGTACGAATTGATAAAGTCATCCTTTTTTGAAGTCGGTCAAAACTTGCAAAATGTCGCGTCCCTATTTATATTTTTTGGCCAGTGTATATTTACATATGTAAACTGTGCTACAACTTTTGTGTTGACACGAGGCAATATTCATTTAAAGTTTAAGTCGTTTTAAAAAGGACTTTATAACTTAAAATTGGTAATTTTTTCAACCAACATAATAAGGGCTATTTACGGCCGTAAAGCCAATATCGAATTTCTTTTAAGATATTTTAAAAAGAAGATTTTTGGGGATCTAGAAGATTTTTAGGGGACTTTCTCTGGCAACACTGGAATGGGTATGTGCATATTACATACCGATTAAGGAAAATCATTAATAACGAGCTTATGAACTGCAATACGATAAACATTAATACACTGAACAGTTGAGTTCTGGAATATTAAAACCTTTGATTTATTCTGTACTACCTTTAGCTTTAAACCAATGTTTTAAATAAACTTAAACTAAGGTTGATTATCAGCTCACCGATAAATTTGCCTTCGTTTCGTTAGATCAGCTAGCTAAGTGTTTCTATACTCGTATGTAATTATTCGCACAATGTGATGTTATTAGATTTTACAATAGTACATATTATATACATAAGTAATATTTCGTTACACTACATTTCATTATACTAACTAAAAACGTTTTCATTTTGTATCCCAGTTTCGGATGGCGTACTAATTGTTGGTGATTGTAGCTGAAAATATAAAAACAAAAAAAAATCTACAAGTGAAAAAACACAACTTTTAGACACGGTACACATTAGAGCGATACGATACGCGATAACATATGCGGTGTGATAGCAAACCGTGTCGCTCGACCGATACGATTATGTCGCCGAAGTGTAGCTCGGCCGATACGCAAGCTATATACATATGTCGCCAACAGTGTCGCTGTCGTGCAAGTGTGTGCACAGTTTTCACCGATTCCTACCAAATTCCACGTCCTCAGCAGCATGTCGATGTCGCTTTCATACCGCGTAACGCGTATCGTATCGCTCTAATGTGCACCGTGCCTAATACTTGCGAATACGATAAAATTTAAATTTAAATTGCTTTCCACCAAATTTTTGAGTAAAACAAAAAATTCCTTTTGCTGTTTTTTTTACTCTACTATCACATTCTTAAATAGTGTGTACATACTTTGTGAACGAATAGTAGGCAGAGGGGTGGGGGTACCAAGATACCGCTTGCCGCCATGAGTGTAACACAGTGTTGCAGTCACGGCGTCGCTATCAGTTTTAAGCTCGTGTTCGCAATTAGCTGTGCGCCTTCAACATTCATTCACTTATAAATGCATATGTATGTAGGAAAGTGCATTTGTTCATGCGATGGTATCGTTGAAGAAAAATTAAAAACAAAACAAAAATCTGTTTACTTATGCTTTTTTTTATCAGGCGAGTATAACTTGCAACAGCTTTAAATGCAATTAATCACTCGAGAAATGTCAGCAACAACTGACCTTGACTTGATGCTGGACGCATGCGCTCGGACAAATTAACAAACAAGATAACCGCGCAAAGAGTGTGTAAGCGCATGTTTGTGTGGCTGTGTGTGTGTGTGTGTCGTAAGATGGGTTGTATGTATATGAAAGTTGAATGTGCGTTCAAAATGAAATATGGATGACACAAGTTTACCTTTTTACACTTTGCAATGATTCTATCTGTTTTATTATTAGCTTGTAATTCATCATAATTACGTGCATTTACATGCATCTTTGTGGCTCCTTGTTCTTAATTTTTTTAAAAGCTGACTCATATGTATAGTATGTATGCAGTGTTTGGTTAAGAAGTTGAATAAAGGAGGTATATTTTGTGCAGCGCGTCTCTGAATACTCTTTTTTTTTTTAGTAGATATGAAGCGATTGTGGTTTTGGCAGAAAAAATGCGAGACTTGAAGTATCAGTTTCTTTCTTGTGAATCCCTTAACTATTTAATTTCATTTATTGCTTAACAAAACCGATGTCTTCATCTGCTGGTTCTGTTGCAGTAAATCAATAATAAATCACTTGCTCATTTACCGACTTTGTTCACTATGCTGCCTGAAATGTTTTACCCTCGCATTTCTCTCTGAAATCGCCAATGGGGTGAGAAAATTATGTAGAATTTAAAAACAATAAAGTTTGTTGGCTTCCAAGGGCGATAGGAGGTATCTATTGAAAGTGCGCTCTAAATAAATATCTTTTTAAGTTAATAAAGTTTGCAGGACGAAATTCGATGATGAGTTCGTGCGTATATTAGTCCTCAAACAATAATTTTTTCGAAAAAAACATTTTACAAATTTTCCAGGATGTTTAAGGACAAAATTTGTAAAGGACATTTTCCATACCTATTCGTCCTTATGCACCAAAAAATGTATGCTGTTATAATTCCATAGAATTTTTTCTTTTATATGATACCCTTATCGTCATCCTACATTGCACTGCATTTTTTAAATAATTTTTTGAAATAATGCTAATCTTTAAATTTCAAAGTCCTTTTAAAAAAACCCTGACGTCAGAGAGAAAAACTAAGTACGCAGTTTTACTATAATTTACCAATCCTATTATTTTGTGTGCAACTGTATGTATGTATGCATTTGAAGAAGTTGCGGTTTCGCCCGAGCTTACACTTTGTTCTTTTTTTATTTTAGGTTTTCATAATTTCTAGCTTATGTCATTCAGCACACAAACTTATTTATCATCCCACTGGCTAAAGCTTTACTTACAAATGTATATTTCAAGTATATCTGACTGATCGACTGTCCGTGCGACTGTCAATCCATTAAATATGGTGCGCGCACAGCTAATCACTAGCGTAAACAGAATTTCAACTACCGCATTAATTTGAATTAATTTAAAAACGTGAATCAAATTGACGCTAAATAAACACACACAAAAAAAAAACAAGAAACTAGCTAACAAACAGTAATATAACAAAAGCACAGAAAATTCGCATTTGAACTTGAAATTTTATTATCACGTTGCTATTGCGCAGCTGCCGCGCGCGCTGCTGATCGTTGGTTGGCACTGGCTCAGCTCCAGCTACGCTGTCAGTTGACTCTGAAACGAGCGCCGGAATTTATTTTCAAATACATGTACATTAGGGCGTATACATTTTTTTTTTCACCATGCGGGTTCTACTTTGCCGAAGAAACCATGGATATTAGAGTTTGCAAATTTCCGGAAATAGGTTTGCAAGAAAATGTGAAAATGCTCACTGTTGCGCCCTTTGGTTGAAGTTTTAAGAAAAATATTACTGAATAAATAGATTTCTTATACCAAAAAAAAAACCCTGGCAGCATGTTTTTATACAAAAATTAAGCACTTCTTTACGACACTACAGCAAAGTGCTAAGAAACCTATTTTCGTAATTTAACAAACTCCAAATTGATTTAAAGCCCATGATTTCTTCGGCAAATTTGCTTAGAATTACACGTAGCATCTTTCTGTGCTAAGCGCTCATAGTTGAAAAAAAAACTCCCATACAAATTGACCCGCCCTAATGTACATATTTTTGTAGTTTGATTTTTTCTCTGTGTTGTGGCCTCATTTGCATTTTGATCACTATATGCGAGCGCTATGGTAAATTAGTTGAATGGAATTCCATTCAAATGCTTCCAAGCGATTGAAATGAGCAAACGCAAATGAACTCGGCGCCCGATTCAATGGTGGCCTGATAGGAGGTAAAAGGTACTAAGTAATTCCAGAGAGGCTATTAATATGTTTCCTTATTGCTTTCACTTAATTTTAAGCTTATACATATTTACGGCTTTTAATATTTATCTTTTACATTTTTTTTTTAACCTTTTTTTCTGTTTGTTTTACAGATGAGGAATCGTTAATTTCGAAAGAGAATAAACAGCCAGCAAATGACTTGAAATGTCCACAGTCGAAAAGGGGACAAAGAGAACACAAACAGCTACAACAACTGCCTGATAGTGGCGTAAACCACACCAGCACAACAGCAAAAACAACAGCAGCAGCAGCTTTAATCTCCCTCCGTAGCCAAGCGAAACAACTGCGACTGCCACAACCGCCGCAACATCAACAAACAACAAAACACCAATTGCAACTCTAACAACACCAACGACCAAAGTAACCTCAACAACTCAGCAAAAGCCAAACGCACCTCAAACCGAACAGCTGCAGCAGCTTAAACAGTGGCAGCAACTGAGTGGCGCAATAGCAAGAGCAGCCACAGCCACAAAAGCAACAATAGCAAACGTATTGTTGCTACACCGCACGTTCACTGCATCAATTCTCACAACGATCCCGTAATCAGCGCAGTCACAACTGCATCACACACTTTAACAACAAGTGCTACTGGCGCCGCGCGTGGACAATCGGCTGTTTCAAACACCGCTGCGGGCACACCTACACCGAGTCCACTAGCGAGTGGTATAGCGTCAACGACGTCAACGGCTGCCACGCCGGCGTCGTCGTCGTCGTCGTCCGCATCTTCAATCTCGCCGAAAGCGAGCTGCAATAAAGTTATGAGCAGTCACGCCACAGCGACTCAGCATAGCGGACAAACAACAGTGGTCGGTCATCATCGCGGCTTCTCGCAACCATCCGTGACAGTGGCGGCCAATTCAGCAGGCGATCCATGGTTCTTACAATCCACCGGGCATCAAATGCCGCCCACAGCGCCTTTACGACACAATAAACGTCCCGCGCCGCAACCGAATCACGGCGGTGTGGGCGGCGGCTTAGGCGGCATTGGCATCGGCGTGGTGGTGGCGGCGGAGGCGCGAGTGGCGTCGGTATAGCGAATGCTGGCAGCGTAGGCGTCAGTTTGTTGCATCAGCAGCAACTAAGCCAATCGCAGCCGCATATTGTACCGCCAAATATACCGCCGCACCATCACAATAACGTGGTAATTATAGAAATAAAAGTCATTTCGTCTTGCATTTGTTTGTTTGTTTTTTTTTTGTTCATCTTTTATTTCCTTTCTTATTGCAGAACCAACACCACAATCCAATCCACTTGTCCTCGCATGCACTTAATAGTCATAATTTAATATCAGTTGCAACCGGCGCCAATCATTCACCAAAATCACCCAATCAGCAACAACAACAGCAGCAACAGCATCATCATCAGCAGCAGCAGACATCGCAATTAACTGGCTCAGCGGCACAGCCACATACACATACACACATCTTATCCACCTTTGCGCCACCATCCGCTGTCAGTGGTGGCAATTGCGCGCCCGCCACGGGGGGTGTGACAGCCGCTGCAGTGGCTGCCGTAACGCAACAGCAACAACAACAGCATTTGCAGCTTCTAGGCAATGCTTCCAGCAATAGCAACAACAATCTTATGTCGTCTTCATTGAATGCGGCACAACATAGCGCCGCACTATCGTTGCACGAACGCGGTCTACCGCCGAAAAGTGGCGCCATTGTTGCTGGCCTAGGCGGCGCACTACACGGCAGCAACATGCTGTTACACCAAGCGCAAGCGCCCTCATCGCTCTCGAGCAGTCAACAGCAAACGCAATCGGCGATATCGCTCAACACTGCTGGTGGCAGTGGCGGTGTTGGTGTTGGTGGCAGCTCAGGCATAGGTGCGACTAGCATGTCTACATCATTGCATAGTTTCGATTTAAATGGTGGTGGTGTGGCGGCCAATGCCTGGTCGAGTAATTCCAATGCAGCAGCCGCATCGTGCACTCACCCACCAACGCTATGGCTGGCGGCGTTAATCAACACCATATTCAGCCGCAACGGAAGTGCGAAGTGAAGCTGAACGCAATGCCGTAAGTAAACGAAATGCAGTTGATAGTTAATAAAATTTAAATGAGCGGTGGTGTCTTAATACGAGGCTTGCTGTATAAAACTGCCAATTTGTCGTATGAAATTATAAATCTTCCAAGTGTTATTACCACGAAAAGCGTGACTTCTTAATTACATACATATGTATGTATGTTCTTATCAGTATGACATTTATAAATTTAATCTGTTTCAGCCGTTGAAATCGAATAAACAGTATTTAAATTGCTAGCTTTAATCTGACATGTCTCTGTACATAAACCTTTAATAACTCTTTCGAAAAGTAATGATATTTAATTAACTCGAAATTTCATACATCAGGCACGCGGACTTGTTTTAAGCTCATATAACACCAAAAGCAACTGACGGCCTGCTTCAGCTTTGTTAACATAGTTCGGTGTTATCTGTTTATGTTTTGTATTGCTTTACACTTATCTTATCTGCATTTGCAAACACAAACGCAAAACAAAAACTCAAATTGCAGAAGCTAAAATAACAAATTTAGTGCCACGAGGAACGAAGTGCAAAAATTCGTTTTCTTGTAAGCTCATATTTGGTGACGAAGCATAGAATCAGCACCAAACCAAATAATGGGGCCCCCATCTATAATAACAAAATATTGTAGAAAACGTACAAAAAAACCTACAGTACAGTCAATTGTGAAATTACCGTATGTGTGCTTGCCGCTTATTTCGTTTTGATGTGAAGCTCTAAATTGTCCACCATTCAAATATTTAATTTTCTATTGCTCACACTCAACTCACTTTCTATTTTGATAGTTGGTTTCATGGCAGCATAACACGCGACGAAGCCGAACACCTGTTGCAGCCTCGCGAGGATGGCCTATTTTTAGTACGCGAATCGACTAACTTCCCAGGCGACTATACACTATGCGTCTGCTTCCAAGGCAAAGTGGAACACTACCGTGTCAAGTACTTGGAGAACAAGCTAACCATTGACGATGAGGAGTACTTTGAAAACCTGGGGCAATTGGTTGCGGTAAGTCGCTCGCAAAAGTTTTGTCACACATAGTATGCGTGTCTAATTAATTTACATTTATTTCGTTATTTGCAGCATTACGAAGCAGATGCCGATGGTCTGTGCACGCAATTGATAAAATGCTTACCGAAAAAGGGCAGGCAAGAATTCTGCATCAACTCTAAGGACTTCCTGGACAAGGGCTGGGTTATACCGGAGGCTGATTTGCAGCTGCGTGAAAGCATCGGAAAGGGTGAATTCGGCGATGTGATGCTGGGTATATTGCGCAGTGAAAAAGTCGCCGTTAAGATGCTAAAGGATGAGGGCGCTGTGCAAAAATTCTTGGCGGAAGCATCCGTCATGACGTAAGTACATACAAAAGTATATATTTATGTATGTGTGTGATTAATAACTGTTCACTTGATTGCAGCACTTTGGAGCATGAAAACTTGGTAAAGTTTATAGGCTTGGTCTTCACCAGCAAACACATCTACTTAGTGACGGAGTATATGAGCAAAGGTTCGCTGGTCGATTATCTGCGTTCGCGTGGACGGCAACACATTACGAAAAAGGATCAAATCAATTTTGCCTAGTGAGTATGCAAGCAAGTGAAAAAATAATTTAAAAAAGACACAATAGTTCGCTAAAGTTTAAAAGAAAATCGACGGTCAGCAATTAGTCCTTCGTCCACATTACTTAAAATAAATTTTTCTTTTTGTTTTTCATTCGATGCAGCGACACCGCCTCCGGCATGGAATATTTGGAAGCTAAAAAAGTTGTACATCGCGATTTGGCCGCGCGTAACGTACTAATATCGGAAGAATGTGTCGCCAAAGTGTCTGATTTCGGTTTAGCGCGCGAAGAATGCTACAATTTGGATGTCGGAAAATTGCCAATCAAATGGACTGCACCTGAAGCGCTCAAGAATGGTGTAAGTATATGAATTTCGCCAACAAATTGCAGTCTATTGACTTTATTGTGCCAATTACTTGTGCAAAATTAATTTGCCCATATATATTTTTTCAGCGTTTTTCCAACAAATCTGATATGTGGAGTTTCGGAATTTTGTTATGGGAAATTTATTCATTTGGTCGAGTTCCTTATCCCCGCATAGTATGTATTGCAAAAGAATAAAATATGTGTACCATTGGTTAGGATAAGGTGAGACTGAGACTCATTTGAATTCCCTTTTTCACTTGCAGCCCCTCAACGACGTGGTGAAACACGTTGAAGTCGGCTATAAAATGGAAGCACCCGAAGGCTGTCCACCCGAAATATATGAAATGATGCGCCAAGCGTGGGACTTGAATCCCGCCAAGCGACCAACGTTTGCCGAACTTAAAGTTAAGTTGTTACATCTGAAAAACACCACACCAGCGTGAGAGCGCAAATGCGTCGTACTACGCGCATAGAATGTGACATTCAGCAGGCAAACATTAAACATTTAAAACAATCCAATCCAATCGAAGTGAGCAACTTAAATTACCAAGTAATATACATACATTTATAATAAATATTTTTTAAGTTTAGGTGAAATAATGCAAAGAAAAAAATTTAAAGAAAGTAAAGAAGTGGTAAGCAGAATATTGTAAAATGTGGAATTTACACTTTTTTTAACTATATGTATTTGTTTTTATTTATGCTATGTTTTTTTGTCAATAGTCTGTTGGCAATATATTTAAGTTAAAAAATTTAAAAGCCTGGCGCCGGCATTAAACTATGATTTAAAAAAAACGCAAGCAAACCAACTGCACTCAATTGTGCAGCGTGCGTCTGCGCCTTAACTAAACGCAAGCAGCTAGCTGACAGGTTAAATGTGAAATAAGAAAAAAATATATTAATAAAAAATAATAATACTATGCTACATAATTATAAATTATTTAGTTCTCGTAATTATTTATATGCGTATGTTTGTTTTTAGTTTATAATTGGTACATTGTACGACACATACTATTTACTAGAATGTATGTATGTTAGTACTACAAAAAAATTACTATTTACCACTGCTGCTGCGACAATTGTATGTATGTTAAGTTTACTTACCTATTTACTTTATTTATACAGGAACACAATCACACAAACACTTGTACACATAGAATTTTTTGTTTATAACCTTTCTATGTATATTACACAATAAAACTTGCGACACGTACAAACGTATGTAATAAAATAATTATTTGTTTAAACGTTTTGTTTTTTTTTGTTTAACAAAAGTAAAGTTTATTAACATAACGTAAGCGTAAACACGGTGAAAATGAAATGACAGTAATAGTACTTTTTTTTATTTTCTTCAAATGCACACAAGTATGCGCACCAGACGGACACACAAATAAATGTATGCAAGTATATACATACCTACATATGTAAATCTTCTTCATATATTTGATTAAAATGAGAAATGCTTTAGCTAAGCAAAGGCAAAAACCAAACTGTATTGACCTTTGAAGCAATGACGTTGTGAATGCAACTATTGCATAAATTTTTCAAGAAGANAAGTACTACTAAAAAAAATGACTATTTACCACTACTGCTGCGACAATTGTATGTATGTTAAGTTTACTTACCTATTTACTTTATTTATACAGGAACACAGTCACACAAACACTTGTACACATAGAATTTTTTGTTTATAACCTTTTCTATGTATATTACACAATAAAACTTGCGACACGTACAAACGTATGTAATAAAATAATTATTTGTTTAAACGTTTTGTTTTTTTTTTTTTGTTTAACAAAAGTGAAGTTTATTAACATAACGTAAGCGTAAACACAGTGAAAATGAAATGGCAGTAATAGTACTTTTTTTTATTTTCTTCAAATGCACACAAGTATGCGCACCAGACGGACACACAAATAAATGTATGCAAGTATATACATACCTACATATGTAAATCTTCTTCATATATTTGATTAAAATGAGAAATGCTTTAGCTAAGCAAAGGCAAAAACCAAACTGTATTGACCTTTGAAGCAATGACGTTGTGAATGCAACTATTGCATAAATTTTTCAAGAAGAGAAAATGTCGTACAGTATTAACACATTTGCAAAAACTGTGCATAAAGTTTTATTAAGCGTGCTGTACATTTAAAATTTTATTTAAGTTTCTAACTGCTTGAGTAGCTATATAATCAACTAGAAATTCGTAATTCTACAGAACCTATTGCATACTTAATTTAATGAAATATATGAAATTGAATGGCTTCACTGCTTTTTTTTATAACATTTATACACAGAACACCGGCTTAGGCAACAAAAATGGCTACACCCCATAAACTATGCATTTTAAACGTTTCATATGCCGAAATTAATGCTTTCATCTAACTACCAGTGTCCCTTCTATGCTTCGCACTCCGTCGCCCCTCTTAAACAAACACAAAGCACTGTTTGTTCAACAAACAATGCAAACAACTATTTAAAAACACTTTTTTATTACGACACTATACATATATACATACCTATACGAATTGTAATAAAGCTAATTTAAACTTATTAAAAAAACATATTTATTTGCATTTTAATTGTACAAAATTATTAAATGGTAATAACAACAAAACGCTAACACACTCATCTTCATATCATGATCATTTTATATTTAAAATTGTTATTTATGTATACAGCATTTTTCATACATTTATATATCTGCTCGTGTATATTTCGTCTACATATATACATACATACATATGTATGTATGTGCGCTCTGGTATTTTTTTTAATAANAAGTGTCCCTTCTATGCTTCGCACTCCCTCGCCCCTCTTAAACAAACACAAAGCACTGTTTGTTCAACAAACAATGCAAACAACTATTTAAAAACACTTTTTTATTATGACACTATACATATATACATACCTATACGAATTGTAATAAAGCTAATTTAAACTTATTAAAAAAACATATTTATGTGCATTTTAATTGTACAAAATTATTAAATGGTAATAACAACAAAACGCTAACACACTCATTTTCATATCATGATCATTTTACATTTAAAATTGTTATTTATGTATACAGCATTTTTCATACATTTATATATCTGCTCGTGTATATTTCGTCTACATATATACATACATACATACATATGTATGTATGTGCGCTCTGGTATTTTTTTTAATAAGAGGTTTTAAAATGTGTATATTTACTAAAAGTCTTTTTTTAGGCGTCAAAAACAAATTAAATTCTTAATAAAACATCCATAAAAAAAAACCCAAACGCGAGATGGTATTTTGAAACAAATGAATGTAACAATTTTTGAAGCTCTAGCACCAAAAAAAAAAAAATTTGAGGAAATGCAACAAAAACTCTTAAACAATAAAGTATTTATTGCTATTTGCATCGTTATTTTAACTCTCCACTTCCCTAAGTCCAAGACCCTGAACGCTATACACCACTTTAGAACTATGCTAGTAAAATAAGTTTGTAGCAATAACACTGCGACATGAAAAATTTATCCGAGGCAAGACTAGCCATTTCTTATAAATTTTAGGTTGCTGAATCCGAATCTGAACTCGAAATTGCTCTCGGCTATCAGTCGCCATACATAATAAGGCCATTAAAAAAACCTACGTGACAGCAAGTCTGAGTTCAGATTCGAATGCAGCGACCCAAAATCTATTAGAAATGGCTAACCTCAGATAAAATCAAAAGTTCAAAATTTCTTGAGTAGTGTAATTGATTTTTCTTCGTTTAGAGCGGGGTAAATGAAAAAGAAAAAAATTTATTTTAATTTCTTTAAACTCGAATTTTGAGCTCAAAAATATTAATGTAACGTTGATATTTTTTATTATTAGCGTAATTCATCTAAAAGTGAAAACGCATCGTTACCTTACGTGAACCTCGTAAACTTACTTAATGTTGTAATGGAAATCCGGTTTTTAAGGTGTTTACGTGTCTACGAGATTTTCACGCGTTTAGATGAATTCCCATATTGTTTTTCTTAGGAAACATGTATAACCTTTTGTACGGTTTAAATGTGTCAATTTATGGGGCGGATTCATAGTCGAGCTTTCTGGCATAACTTTTGGTGGAATATGTGTCAATAAAGCTGCTACACCCTTTAGAATGACTGACTTTGTTTCGACTGTGAACATACCACAATAATTTTTCGAAATTCAATTTCCATGATTTGATATCATGTTTCCAAAAAATTTGTTTCGATGCTTATCGTAAAGCCAACATTTTTCATTTTAAGCTGACAAAAAAATATATGTATTTGAAATTTTTTTCCGACGGCTGTGGTTATTCGAGTTTAAGAGAAACGGCTACAGCTTGGCCCCAAGATTTTCAAGCATTTTTTTTAGCAAATTTTTCTACGACGTCAAAGTAAAAACTTTAATATTTAATGAAAACTACTCGACGCTGCGGTCATTTGCAAATTTGCTCTAAACGATATAAAATCATTTAACAAGTATTTCTATTTATTAGCACTACATATAAATTATATAGAAAAACACTTGAACTTTCGGCAGTTGAAATAAAAATTTTTATTCAAATTCGCATTAGCGTGTAAACAAATGAAAAAAAAA